AGAAGCGGCACTGTATGAGGTACCTTCTGTCTCAACGAATGGTTCACAGAACTTCATTGTTAAACCTGTATCCCTGCCTGTGTTGGGGTAGCACAATGCCTTCAACTTTAGCTGAGGTATTTCAGCAATGGTCGTAGAAACCTTCACAACTGATTAATGGGGCAGGATGCAGCTATGGCAAGGTAAAAGAACAGTCTGACCGCAGTGATTGCATCAGCCTCCCTATGCCAAGCCAGACAAGGAAAGCCAAGAACTGAGATCTCCACCTGTGTTTTGAAAGTGGGAAATGATATACTAAACCACCCATTTCTTATCTGCTTAACATCTCGGCTGATAACACAAACAAAACGGCCAGAATGTCAACAGCAGATGGCTCAGAGATGCTCTGTCTTCTCAGAGGATGTCCCCTCCTCTGTCTTCAGAAGTGTAAGTTACACATTTCTTCCTAATCAGCAGCACCATCATCTTCACTGCTGTTGTTCAGAGCTCTCCTGACAGCACAGGGGCTTCAGGGGGTCACACTTAAGTGAGCCATGCGCAACTGGAAAGAGGATAACAACTGGAAACCCCTCCTCCCCCTGAACTCACACAGCATTCAAATAGTTAACCATTAGCCCCACTCGCTCCCTTCGTACCTAGAGTGCTGCGGCAGGGAAGGAGCTGAGCAGCTTTCCCTCCACTCCAGCGACAAGGGCAGTGCTCAGAATGGGGGTGGGGAAAGTCTAAAACATGGTACAAAAACCCAAGCACATGCTACATACCCAATATATGAAAAGCACCTACTGGTTAACTGTCATCTGAATCACCTCTCTGAGGACTGTACAGTACCTGAAACACACTCCTACTCAAATGCCCGAGACACCACAAATAAGAGACGCCGGTGTCCAAAATTTGCCAGATGCCCAGCCATTGCCATGCAGCCCGTCTCAGCAAACGGCACCTCACAACGAAAGCCCCAAGAAAAACGGCAGTGAGCTGCAGGACAGAGGGCGCGCGTTGTCTGCTCTCCCCAGGACTGCTCGTTCTGCACCAGCGGGCTCCTCGAAGAAAGCAGAAAGCCCAACGCCACAGTCTTAGCACAAGTCCCAGGTCTGAGACAGATGAGGGAAAGGCACTCTCCCAGCTCCCCGAGGAAAGGCAGTGCTTGCAGTTCACAGCAGGAAAAGGGATCACCCACACTCCTCCTCACAGAGCCACGTAGGACATAGCGTGTTTACCTGGTTGGCTGCACCATCCCCGTATAACGTCAGACAGACTTCGTTTTTCCCAAAGTATTTACAGGCCAGCGCAATCCCAGCTCCAAGAGGAACCTATCACAGCGCAGGACAAACCAGGAATTCAGAAGAATGTTTTGAGGAGCTGGAGACAGGCAGCTTACGAACAGTAGACAGGCATTTATACTTTTAAAGATCTGTTCAACGAACAAGTTGTTACCAACTCCCTTCCATGTGTTCCAATCCCTACTACAGCCAAAACACAAACATCAACGAGATTCTCAATTTGATTCACTTTTACTACAGTTCACAAAACTGTCAGCAAACCCAAATAAAGACGTAACAGAGGTAACAGCCACAGAGCAACGGTATCTGCATACAAGCTCGCACCACAAAAACTGAGAGAATACTGGCACAGGACATGAGCCAAATTCATATTGGGCTTTAAAAGAGAAGTCATGGACGTACCTGAGCCCCCACGATACCATTGCCACCATAGAAGTTTTTGGTATACATATGCATTGATCCTCCTTTTCCCTTCACGCATCCTCCTTTTCGACCTGAAACATAAATAACAAGCAATTTATTTTTTCAGAGGAAAAAATACTATAAATGGGAAAATCAACTTAATTCCTAAAGGTAGTAACACTAACACCACGTTGTTGTCATTAGATCTGTGTGGAGTTAAGACAACAAGGGCCTCTCCCCAAAGAGCTTACAGTTACATGTATCACAAAACAAGTAAGAGAAGGGGAAAAAAGGGAACGATAACAAAACCACAATTCACAGAATGGTTTAGGTTGGAAGGGACCTTAAAGACCATCTAGTTCCAACCTCCCTGCCATGGGCAGGGACACCTTCCACTAGACCAGGTTGCTCAAAGCCTCCTCCAGCCTGGCCTTGAACACTTCCAGGGATGGGGCATCCACAGCTTCTCTGGGCAACCTGTTCCAGTGCCTCACCACCTCATAATTCAGGAAACGAAGAAAGAGATTAAGAAGAAATTTTGAAACCAAACAAGAAGTTTCAGCGTCCTACTATATAAAAGCACTTCCTGATAAATATGTGCGGTTTTTTCAGTAGCGAACATGGTCTGTATTTCTCATGTATGTAATCTATAAAATTTTAACAGTCCTTATCACTTTCATCTTCTGCAAAAAAGATATGAACGCTGTTCCAAATTAGTCACAATAAGATGCACTTGTCTTCCCTGTGACAATAACCAGAAGTACAAATTACAGATAGGATATTAAAAAAAAACCCCACCAAAACACAAAACACCCAAACCAACCCCAATCCTAACCCTAACCCAACAGCCCTCTACTCCACTCCCAGATAAACATCGGAATGTCAGCTAGCCCAACATTGTTCAAGCTGTAGTTTGAAAATAACTGGTGGTCCTTGAAGCATTACAACAATCCCTATTTAAATGAGCTGATCTAAGATCATCAGCACACTCCATTTCTTATTCCAATCTGTCTTGTTACTAGCCACACAGGCTTCTATTTTATTTGTGCACAGCTGGTTTGGGTAATTTTGGTTGGTTTGTTTGGGGTCTTTTGCCTTAGCCTTGGTGTTTAATTTAGAAGGTGAATGCTGGATCTCTCTGGAATTTGTGCTTCTCTTTCTTACTTAACAGTGGATCCTTTTTATTACTGGTCTTTTTAGTATCTTTCACATGCTTATGAATTGGTATCCTGTGAGCTTTTATGGATTCTGCCAGCTAGGGCCAAAGCAAAGAAAAGCAAACAAAAAAGTCTAATTTTAATCAGAAAACTATTTTCTTAAGTGTAATTAAACTTCAGTAATCTCCCCCACTTACTGTACAATCCTTTTTGTACTTCAGCCAAGAACTTCCGATTGACCACTGTCATCAATTCCCCTGCAAAGTCCTTTTCTAGAGTTTGTTTCCTGTAGGACCTTTTCTACTCATCTCATCTGAGGGACTCTGCTTCATGATCCCTCAAAGACTTTAATTCTGCTATTTCCTGGTCATTGTAACCGAGATAGTCTCTCAGTTTGGCATTTTCAGTCAAGATCTTGACCACAATCAGCTCCAGCAGCACTCCTCTCCAGAACCCTGCCCCAAGCGCCATTTCTCGGAACAGTAGCCTCTGTACTGCAGCTGCTCCTTCCCAGTTAAAAGGGCCCCGCTAAGCCTGAGCATAATGCTAAAGATGATGTGTGTCATGAAATAAAGAAAACACAGCCACATCACCACTGACATTTGTAGTTTCAGGGCCCACAGACTTCAGTCATGACAATCTCCTTCGGTTACTTCCTCTCTAATCAGCATCGAGCAATGCTTGACAAGTTGATCACCCACTAGATTCTGGGCTTTTGTGCATGTTATTAATAATGCACTTAACACACACACACACTCCTAGTGTACAAAGCCACACCTCTACTTCCAAAATGTGCTTGCCTGTATTTACCTTTCAAGCACGCAAATTCTCAGAGCGAGTCTTCGTTACACCAATGATTCATAATGGCCTTCAAATTCCTTGTTAGCATCCATTCACACATCTAAGAGTTTGGCAGGCTGGTCTTCTCTTCTCTCCCCTGCTCCACCTACAACCCTGCTGTGAACAACCACCCCTCCTTTCTGCAAAACCTTAGATCTGTCTAGCATACCATTTAATATTCTCCTTACAGTCCAATTCTCCCAAACCATTCTGTTTATCATTCCAGGCAGTGTTTACCAGTCTTCAAGACTTCAGCAGCATAATTCTGAAAATCCAAGTCTGTCTCCTAAGGGAGTGCATCGCCCTGTCCCACTGAGAACAAATGCCTGCCACCACCAACTTTCCCTTCAACAAGCTGCAGCAGCACAACAAACACAGCACGTGGCAACAAGAAACACGTTCTGAATTTGTGCTTTACAAGTAGCAGCACTTAAATGTTCCTTATGACTTATGTTTTGTACCAAAAAGCGGTCACACCATGAAAAGCCTAAGATTGATTAACTCTGCTATGCCACTAAATGCTTCTGAAGCTCCAGTATCCTTTGTGCATCAACCTCATTTTGAATTTGAATAAAAAATTCTGACAGGAGCCCAGCAGCACGCGAGTCCTCATTTTACTCGGCACAAACCTGTAAGTTCAGCGAGAATCTCCCGAACAGGCACTCCTCGTGCGTAGGTAAAGCCGTGAGCTCTGTAAGCCGTTATCACGTGGTCTGTAGGCTTGATGGCAACTTCAAGCCCTACACAGCAAGCTTCCTATTACAAAGGCATGAAGAAAAACACACCATTTTCAGAGTCAGCAGTGTGTCAAGGGCTAGCTATAGTCCCAAATACTTCAAATACCAGCAGAAAACAGGAAGAGCACAGATACAGGAGACTGCCTTAAAGTCCATGGTGTGGCAGGTCTGTCTCTGCAGAACCTGGAGCTACAACAGCCTTGAGCTCTAAATTCCAACCTGTTCTGATTTCAACTAACAAAAGCAAACAGGAGGGCAACTGTTGCTAAACGATGCCAAAATCAGAAATGAAGTAGTTGATCAAAAACGTAAAGATTTGTGTGATTGGTACTGGGAATCTGTTTTGTATTTGAAATCAGTAACTACAGAGATTTTGTGTAACAAATGTGACCGTAGAAACCTCGTATGGTATTGTCAGCGTCTGTGAAACCAAGGCAATTAGCCATGGAAACCAACAATGCTGCTTGGAAATACCCTTACCCTTCCCATCTTGATTTGAATAGCAAGGATTCCAATCAGTAGAGATAAGCAGAGGTGACCAATAATCAATTTAGAATATGAATACATAAAATAAACCAATCACTGTAAAGGTTAAACGTAATAACGAACATAGGCATTTTACGTAAAACACAGCGACTTAGCAGAAAAAGTGTACAAGAGGATGATGATTGTAATGCTATCCCTCATGCCTGCAATAAAGAATGCCTGCTTTCTAAAACTCTCAATTGAGTTTGGGGAGTTTTCTTCACCCATTTAGGGTAACAGAACCAGAAGCTGCAAAGATCTGTAGACTTTTTCCAGCCCCATCTCCCCTGTGAAGCATCTAAATAACTAAAATTTAAAAATGGCAGGGGGTTGGCAAAGTTTCACTAAGCTCATGAAGTCCCTTCTCCTGGCTGTTGCTTTGTAGTGGGCACATGATCTACAAGACACTGGAACAAAAAACATCAATGAAGCTTGAGAGGAGGACGTGGGCCTCCACACGTGTTGAATTTAATACGCTTCAGTTGCTCGTTCCTCACATCGAGCTGATCTTCAGCTGCACTTTGTGTTCACTCCCTCCCTATTGTTGTGCTAAGATCTCAGGGACACCCTTGTGTGCCACAACATTGTTTTTAAGGAGATAATGAACTAAATCATGATACAGCTACAACTTCAGACACTGTACACAGATACTCAGCTCTGGATTTACTCTCCACTCTATTCAAATACCTATACATCAAGTAAGGTAAGTCAGTATGAAAACTCCTGGGAAAAAAAAAAACCACATCTTACCTGACCATCGTATAAATGGCAGAAGCCACGAATAATCTTCTGCTTGTACAGCTGGTCAGACTTCAGCTCCATGCGTCGTATGGTCTGCATCGTCTTGTAGTAATGCAGCCCCTCCTCTCGAGTCATCACTGCTGTGGTACTAGGGCCCTCTTCCAGGCGATGGAGGTCACATTTCTGCAAAGTTGAACAAGTTGTTATTTCCTGGAAGGAATTCATCCTATTTATGAATAACACTTTTTTTTTTAATGATGTCTCAACTTCAAATTCAGATTTTAATATCTTTTAAAAAAGCCAGGAAAACCTAAGTTCGTAGGTCAAAATAGATGTAAAGTTTGTACACTATTTTCAAAATCAGGGAAATAAAAGCCTTACTTTTAATAAAGGCAGATTTCCACTGATGAAATGAAGCCCTGAATTCCTACTAGCAGTAGGTGAACTAAAGTTCTCATAAATTACTGGAAAAGCATATTTCCATGGTTGTTGCATACTCAATACTTGGTAAGAGCTACAGAGGCTCAGTGAAGAGACCAGAAAGATGGAGAGTTTTCTTCATGAAACAGTTTGTAAGATCTGGTCCCAAGACTGGACTTCATCTCTTCTACCCCCACTTGCATTAGCAGTAATAAACCACTGCTGCATCAGCCACCCTGCTGGTCAAACCACCATGTGTACAGCACAAATTCCAGCCCAAACCATGGAGTAGCGCTGGTTTTAGGTACCCGTACAAAACAAATCTAAAAAACCCCAAAAGCAGTCAGGTTCAGTGGAACAGATTACTCTGTCAGTGCAGGTTAAATGGCCAAAATACTGCTCTCCAGATTAGGGACCATTTATATTAAAGAGAAGTCTCTCCAGAGCAAATCCACTGACACCTAGATGAACGTTATGTAATACACGTGCACACTCCTCTGCTTCAGGGTTCACATAACAACTTAGACTTATCATCAACACAGGACCAAACACTGAACCTTGTATCTAGTCAGAAAAGACTTATATTAACATATTTTCCTCCCCTCTGCCTGTGGAACCACTTCAATACTTCACAGGCATGGACAAACAGTGAGCAGGTAAAAGGAGAACTAAACCATTTCCTTCAGAATTTCTTTTATCAATTCCTGAATGAAAAGCCAGTATAACTGCTACTGCCAACGGACGCCTTGCTTTTTCCCCAAGACCTAGCCACCATGGAAAGTTGACCGAATGTAACGCAGGTTTTTTGAGCAGCACCAAGTCAAACAGTAAAAAGGATGCTGTAGCTTTTTGCTCCAAAATCCACATGGACCTCAATCAGCTGCACGTTTGGGATACAGCACCCACAACCCCATAAAGAAGAGGGAGATGGAGAGAAGGGTAGGCAGCAAAAACCAGCTCTTTGTTTTAAAAGCATTAAGAAACCACTAATACTCTTCCCCTCTGAACAGAAAAGGTTCTTTAGCTCCTTTGTAACTCCACTCTCACAGTTCTGTTGCAGCATCACAGCTGCAAAGAATCACAGCTTCACATTCTTAAGAAACAAGTAACATTACTACCTACTGCCAAGCACAGTGCTTCCAGCTGCATTTAGAAATCACGGCAGGTAGTTAGGGGGTTGGATCTAGAAATTCAAACAGTATTTCTCTAACTGAAAAGATAGAGGGGCAAGCCCATCATGTCAAGATCTACAACAAGCACTTACACAGAACACCAGTATTAAGTATTTAGCTGATTTACCTTAATTTCAAATGTAGCTTCACTTGCAAAGTCTGCATAGTTACGTGATGCCACCATCACCCGAGATGCCTTAAAAAAAACCAAGACAAAACCAAAACATGAGCAATACTTAAATATAATAACCAAGCAGAAGTCACAATTCCTAACATTATTCCCAAACTGAAGTAATTTGTGAACGAAACTCTTCAGTGGCATATCCCATAACATGACAGAGCTTTTATTTTGTACATATGTGCTAGAAGTCCTTTAAAACCCAGCATTTAAAATTAAGACTACGGAAAGAAAATTTTTAATACTCCTGGTTATCCTAAAAAAAAAAAAAGGCACTTCAAAAGACCGATAAAAAACACAAAAATAAGTGTTACTCCCTTCACATACCAGAATGCATATATGAGTAGAGACATGACCAGTGCAGATTTTGATGGATTCTCTGCACTGACTGGAATTTTACCTTGATAGAACAAAAAAATTTATTTGGAAATAAAAACTCCAGCCACCCAAACCAGCAGATTTCTGGATTATGAACTACTCTTGCTCTTCCCTTTCACTAGGAAAAGAAGTTGGAGGAATTCAAGGCAGTAACAATGAAAAAAAAGAGCATCATTTAAGTAGTGGCCGTGCTGTTACCCACTTAACAACGATATGGAGACATAGAAGGTGACATACCCAAAGATAAAAGACATACAGAGCAACAGAAAGGTGGCATGGCAGGGGAGAGATAAGAAGCATGTTTAAAAATACACAACGGTTCTGTCTTGAAGAATGTGCACAAGCTATTAACTGGTAGTTTTAGATAACTTCAGTAAGCTTCACTGCAGCATCAGATAGGATGCTCACCTAAGCATGTGTGCATTGTGGCGACAGTGTAAGGAAGGCACTACACCTTTAGTGGCAATATCGCATCACTGATTGAGCTGCACGTAAGTTTCAGTAGCTCATCCAACCATGGAAATCACATATATTTTAGCTGAAGGCTCATCCTTTCAAACTCTGGAGAATACCCAGGTCAATGTCTCCAAAAAAATCTGATTGACAGGTATAAAGCTTGGACAAAGCCAAGAGAAATTTCTCAATCCTTGTTGGCTACCTACTCTGTTGCATATTTGATTTAGCAATCAAGACTCCCCCCTCCCTCTGGCCCACTATCTGATTAAACATTTAGAGTTCTGAATTTAAACCAAGTTTCTATGCTGTTTACCACAATACATTAGTATCATTGGTGAGGAAAAGCTGCTGTACTTCCAAATCTGGAAGTAAATCAAGAGCACAGGATACACAGAATCACAGAAAGGTAGAGGTCAGAAGGGACCTCGGTAGGCCACCTGGTCCAACTCCCCTGCCCCAGAAACGATATAAAAGCAACACTGAAGAGTCTGTACAAAAGTTCTAATACACGGCCAGTACGCATATCCAAAACAAACCTCGACAAGAGGGATTCAGGCCTTACCTCACTAACGGCTCCCTAAGTTAGCAGCACCAGCAAGAAAAAAAAAGAAAAAGGAAGAAAAGAAAAAAAGAGTAAGTAGCTATAATAAACAATTAGGGGAGGAGAAGTCAGCAAATTACTAGCCAACTAGAACACTGTAAGAGGTAATTTCCTTACAGGTAAGCTCTGTACCATGGAAATCCACGTGGCAATATCCACAAAGCATATATAAAACACTGCTTTGTGGATTAAGACTGCTTCTATTTATTTGGTAATTTATACCATCACTGTAAATACACCAGGATAATTCAAGACAAATATTTACATTTTTCAATCCTAGTGATTACCAAAACCCTGTATTAAGATATCCATGCCAGATCTGGTTTGGAATTCTAGTTTGGAATGCTGGATGTCAGGAGCAGGCCAAGCGCTTGCAGTAAAGGCCTAATTTTAGGCACCCATATTTGAAAATTATTAACACAGGTATTTTACTGGTAAATTAGGAAATACTTTTAGATGTACAGGCCCAACACACAGATGAAGATCTTCTGGTAAATCTGCTCGCTCGTGTCATTCTTACAGTCACTGACCTGCTTTTCCCCTCAAGAAGTGAATGCTTAGGGAAGTGAGCCACTGCAGAACAGAGGAGCAGGCACAGATTTGTTCTCAGTGGCAAAAAGGCAGCTAACTTCGATTTACCAAAAAGTACCCTTTCACACCGACTTGATCTTGCCAGCAATTTTTTTTCAGCAGGGTTAATTTTTCCTCACGGCCACAGCCATTGTAACGGAACAAGGAGAATGAAGGGGTAAAAGGAATATTTTTCACACACGTGATAAAATACAACAAATGACACACTAACGCAAAAAAAAAAAAAATTACAAAACTCGAAATACATCTGAGGAAGAGATGAATAGGGGCTGTTGTTTGAGCAGGGGAGGGTGAAGCAGCTCAGTCAGTCAGATGGCTGAATTTCAGACGGAAGGAGAAGAGTACGTTTACCCCCAGGTTAGGATCTGACCTGTGCCGGCAGCCCAGAGACATAAGAACAACAAAAGGCAAAGCAAAGGACCCAGAGAAGGGTTTCAGGAATGAGCCAAAACATTTCGTACCTACGGAACACGTGACGAGCGAAGAGACCACCGTGCCCGGCACTGCCGAAGGGCCTGGGCGGGGCAGCGAGGGCCGCCCGTGCTGGAGGGGCCGGTGGCC